ACTCGAACCAGTCGATCACGGACGACCACATTCAGTACTTTTTGTACCAGATGCTGGTCGCGATCAAGTACGTGCACTCGGCCGACGTGCTGCACCGCGATTTGAAGCCGAGCAACATTCTGGTCAACTCGGACTGCGACGTCAAGCTCTGCGACTTTGGCCTCGCGCGCGGGATCTACGACCTCCCGCCGGACGCGGCCTTGACCGAGTACGTCGTGACGCGCTGGTACCGTGCGCCCGAGGTGCTTCTGACGTCGGCGTACGACAAGCCCATGGACGTGTGGGCGATCGGGTGCATCTTGGCCGAGATGATTGGCCGGCGGCCGCTCTTTCCTGGGTCGGACTTTCTACATCAGCTCAAGATCATCCTCGAGGTGGTCGGGACGCCGACGGACGAGACGCAAATGGCGTTCATCACCAACCACCGCGCCAAGCGCTTCATCCTCAAGCAGCCAAAGAAGGCGCCGGTGCCATTAGCCTCCTTGTACCCGCGCGCGTCGCCGCTCTGCCTCGACCTCCTCGCCAAGATGCTCGTCTTCAACCCGCGCGAGCGCATCACTGTCGATGACGCCCTGGGGCATCCGTACCTCGCGGGTATCCGCGAGCCGTCGGTCGAGCAGACGTGCGTGAACGGTCCGTTCGACTTTGCGTTCGAAGACGCCGAGCTCACCAAGGACGCGCTGCAAGAGCTCATGTTTGAGGATGTCTGCGCCTTCCACCCCGAAGTCCTCAACAAGAGCCTCCGCCGGGCCGCCACGACCGTGTAATAGAGATGTAGTCCATATCGTAGTATGTAGTAGAGTTGATCGTAGTACCTATCTGCATCATCTTGCAAGCCTCTGCTCAACCAGCGAGGGTCGATGGCATGCAGGTCGAAGAAGGCATGCGGGCGCGTCCGAGGGCATGCGGCGTCCATGCATCTTTGCGTTCCGTAGCAGCGTCCATGCACATCTCGCTGTTGACCATCTATGCGCATGTTGGATGAAACCATCGTGGCATGTGGCGGATGCTTCCACGGAGCCTCGGCGTCACAACGCTAGCACCTCGCACCGCGCGTACCTCGTTCTCCCTTCTTCCTCCTCCATCATCATCCATACGTCCTCATCCCCTCATGCTCATCTTCGTCCATGGCTCCATGGCCGGCGTCGACGGGCTGGGCGCATGGACCTCGGGCGTCGGCTCGGCTCGGTATACAAACGCCCAGCGGCCGGCGATAACGCCCCGACGCCAGCTAAAAACGACGAACATAAGGTGGCTAAAAAAATACGGCAAAGTGATTTGGCGTTTGTATGGCAAGGCGTTGCCACCGCAGAGTGGGTAATTAAATTTCCTGTACCGGTCCCACTTGGCTCCACGACACTAGAGACCCTGTCACCAGCTGCCCTCGAGGTGACGACGACGATGGCCATGGTGAGGAGCCTCATGGAACCCTTCCTCGTAGAGCTTCGCCGCCTTCATGAGTACATCGGGACCTGCTAGCACCGCCAATGGCATCAGCGAGAAGGACCTGCCCGAGCACGGACGAGACATGCTGCTGGGGGCGCTCAGCGGCGGGGGGTCGCTGCCGCCGGCGCCGTCCAGCACGTCGTCGGTCAATGGATCGGAGCGCACGTCGTCCATGACGGGCCTCACGCGCCAAGCATCCACGACGTCGACCGCGTCCGAGCTCAAGTCGGTGCGTGGCCCGCCAGCACACGAGGTGCACTGGGAGGGCTACGTGCGCAAGAAGGGCGACTGGCTTCCGCGCTGGGAAGAGCGCTACCTTGTGCTTGACGGCGCGAGCCTCACGTACTACAACACCAAGGACGAAGCGCGCAGCGGCCGGAATCTCCGTGGCCGCATGATCATCACGCGCGTTTTGCCGGAAAACTATGGCAAGGCCCATGGCTTTCTCATCGAGACAAAAGGCCACAAGCACTTTCATCTGTGCTGCACGACAGAGCTCGAGAAGGACATGTGGGTCGAGATGATGCAGGCAGCGATCGACGAAGGCATCTCGCACCCGCCGCACTTGACGACGCAGCAATCATCCGGCACGTTCGAAGCCACAGTGTCGTTCCAGGCGTCGCCGACCCAAGTCGACCTCCGCTCGTTCTACAGCGCGTTTCGGAAGCTCCTCATCTCGCACTCGTCGTCGCCGCAGTTCTTTCCCAAGCTCAGCCGCGACGTGGTCTTGACGAGCAACTACGCGCCGACCGTGCCGTTCTGGGGCGAGTACCACGGCCTCGACGGCGTCTTGCACTTCTTCTCGATCTTGTACGAGACGGTCGAGTTCACGTCCTTCTTTGTGACCGACATTGCGCAGGCCGCGCAGGGCTCGACTGCCGTCATCGCCGGCCGTGAGACGATGAAGAACAAGCACAACAACCGCAAGTTTACGCAGCAGTGGCAGCACACGATCGAGTTTGCGCCCGACGGCCGCGTCAAGAGCCTCACCATCACGGCCGACCCGGTCGCGGCCTCGGCGGTCTTTGGCTGCAACGCCACGTCGAGCCTCAGCCTTCCGATCGCGTCAGTCATTGGCAACACCAGCCAGGACAACCCGGCCGGCGTCGTGCACGTGCACGTCCTCCGCGGCGAGCAGATTGGCGGCCTCAGCGACGACGACGACACCGGCGTCGTGGTCCAGCGCCGCATCTTCCTCGGGCTCCGGCTCATCGTCGACGGCAAGACCAACGTGTATGCACCGACGTCGTCGGCCAACTGCGTGAGCAAAACGGCCTGCTCGACGCTCGAGTCGTCGCCGGACCCGGTGTGGGACTCGCCGCACGAGCTCGCGTTCCAGGGCCTCAACCGCGGCAAGCCGTGCTTCATGCTCATCGAAGCGTGGGGGTATGTCGACGAGGGCACAAAGGAAGAGCTCATTGGTGTCGCCAAAGTCAACCTCGCGCCGTTCCTTGCGCTTGCGAGCAGCTCGCGCTCGGTGCGGGAGAGCGTCGTGCACAGCGACATTGCGCGCGGCGCGGTGCCGCAGTGGTACACGCTCCTCTCAGCCTCCGAAACCAAGTTTTCGTGCGGCCGTGTCCAGCTCAGCATCTCGTTCGAGACCAACGTGGCCAAAAAGGAGGCGACGACCGGGTCCGACTCGGAGGACCCGGACGCGGTGACGCCGACGCTGCGCCCGCTCTCTGCCGTCGTTATGCCGCTCTCCAAGACGGTGCTCTCGAAAGAGAA